CACACACACACACACACACACACACACACACACACACACACACACACCTTCTACTGTACTTCTTAACTAATGAACTGTACCCCAGCATCTAGCCAAGCCAGACTACCCATGTATTTTGTTGAACGTAATCAGGTTTTTCATCTTCCATGTCTTTTCTCATGGTGGTCCTGATGGAATAGCTTCCTCAGTTCTACCCATTAAAATCCTCTCCTTCCTTCAAAGTCCAGTTTAAAAGCTAATTTCTCCATAGAAGCTTTTCCTTTCTCCCTGACTAAACATAATCCTTTATTCTGTTGAACTACAACAACATTCTGTTTATATTTTCTTTTTTTTTTTTTCCTTTTTTGGCTATGCCACTCGGCTTGCAGTATCTTAGCTCCCTGACTAGGGATTGAACCCAGGCCATGGGAGTGAAAGAGCTGAGTCCTAACCACTGGACTGCTAGGAGATTCCTTTTTTTTTTTTAGATGGTACTGACACTTGTGTCTCTTGTATCATAGTTGTATACCTGTTTTCCTAATTGCTTATTGGCTACAAAAGGTATTATGACTGCCTTATTTATATCTGTAGATCCTGTATTGCCTTATACATTGTTGCATTACTAGCATGTCTCTGTACAAATGGGCCACTGGGTGGTGCCAGAGGCCTATAATTTAGATAAAAAAGGGAGGCTGGAGCTGCTATACAGTTGGGCTACCCAGTGCTGTTACATCTTCCGCAAGATAGGAATAGAGATTAATTTCCCTGATCCAGAAACGTTTATAGTTTCTGCTCCTCTGTCCCGTTTACCAGAGGAGACAGTGTAGTATATTTAACTCCTCCGAGTACTTTAATAGACAGTAGCCCAGAACTAAAGGCCTGCCCCCCCGTAAACATGTTTATACAGTATGAGTTTCAGCTTCCTTGGGGTCATCCTTTGAATTCAGTGTCTGAAGTTCTCTGATTAATAAACACTGTACTATTAGAGTGGGGCTGGCAGCAGGAGTTGGGAAAGTTGTCTTGGAGAAGTGTTTATTGTGAAGTAGAAAAACAGTAAGGTAAGGAGAATGAATTTAAATTGAGCCATTTCAGTTTAAAAGCAAAAACTGGGGATGGAGAAAATAGGACTGGTTGATTCCAGATGGACTGTGGGACCTAAGACTGAAAAGCAAATTTGTACTTTGGATGGAGATCAACCCTGAACAGCTGTTCAGTCATGAGTGGTATGGGACATCTGTCCTCCCAAGAGGAACCAGGGATTGTGTGGCTCTCAGATATGTCTTACTAATAATTGAAGTAGTTTCTACCATCACCTTTCACTTTAAGAGGAAATTCTGAAACCTTGTCTCATTTAAACATGGGTGTCTGTGTAAGAGAGTTGGGCACTTCAGTTGCAGAATGAGACATGCCAAACGAGGCAGCTGGACTGACCCAGCTGGACTGACCCAACAGAATGCTGAGATTATGTAACTCAAGGGAACTCACTGAGCATGAGTTCAGGTCTTAGTAAAGGGATCAAGGACAGAAATATTATTTACAAGTTGATGTTTCCATTGAACCTGAGGTAAGGTAGAGTTGTCAGACCAGTTTCCATAGACCCTAGAGTCCAAAGGAGTTAAAGTGAACTTGAGAGAAATTTAAAAAATAAAAATAAAAAGCGTATGTATACAAATTAATAGTACAACCGTTAGAACTACTTTGGACTACTTTAAGCTTCTGATATTCTTAGTTGTCACCTAGACAGTAGGGTTGAAGACGTTTTATGAGTTCAGTATTCATCTTGCCTTTAATGTGGTTCTGATAAGGCAGCTTTGTTTGCAGCAAAAATTCTTCCACATTTTAATTTTCAAGCAAGAAGACCGGACATTTTGCTCTCTTTTATTGTGGCCTATTGACCAGTGTTAGCTAACTTCTATTAATAGTCACAGGCTTGAGAATCTAGTGTTTTTAATTGTTGGGTTGTATCTGTCATTTAACACTTTGCATGATTCTCTCCCCCCCTCCCCCCACTCTCTCATTCTCTTTTCTGGCCAGATTGATTGATTGATAATTTACATACAGTAAAATTTACCTTTTGTTTCACAGACCCATTCTTTGGATTCTAACAAATGCATAGTCACGTAACACCACCGTGATGGAGGCATAGAACATTTTAATCATTCCAGCAAGTTTTCTCATGACTGTTTGTAGTTAGTTCCTTTCCCCCAAATCCCAGAAATGACTGATTTGCTCTCTGTCCCTATAGTTTATCTTTTCTGGAACATCCTACAAATGGAGTCATGTTATGTAGCTGTTTTGAGTCTTGCTTCTTTCACTTAGCATAACACACTTGAGATCCATTCATGTTGCTGTATATGTCAGTAGTTCATTGTGTGATGGACCACAGTTTTTATCCATGACCTGGCTGAAAACCACTTGCTTTTAGTTTTTGATGCATCTAAGTAAAGCCACTAAAACATTTACATTTAGATTTTTAGGTGGATATTTAGTTTCATTTTTCTTGAGTAGATACCTGGGTAGGATTCCTGGGTTGTATGGTAAGTGTATGTTTAACTTTATTAAAAAAAAAACTGCCGAACTGTTTTCCAAAGTGACTAACTACCATTTTACCTTTCTCTGAGCAGTGTGTGAGACATTAGTTGCTCTACTCCTTGTTAGCACTTGATAAAGTAAACTTTCATTATTATTATTTAAAAATTTTTAACTTCTAATAGGTGTGTAGAGGATTCTCATTGTGGTTTTAATTTGTATTTTCCTAACGACTAATGATGTTGATCATCTTTTTCAAGTGATTGTTATTTAGTTGTGAGAGAATTTAAATATATTCCGATTGCTGTCAAATATGTCTTTTTTTTTTTTTTTTCTTTTTTTTTTTGCGGTACGCAGGCCTCTCACTGTTGTGGCCTCTCCCGTTGCGGAGCACAGGCTCCAGACGCGCAGGCTCAGCGGCCATGGCTCACGGGCCCAGCCGCTCCGCGGCATGTGGGATCTTCCCGGACCGGGGCATGAACCCGTGTTCCCTGCATCGGCAGGCGGACTCTCAACCACTGCGCCACCAGGGAAGCCCTCAAATATGTCTTTTGCAGATATTTTCCTCTAGTTCATTGCTTGTCTTTTCGTTTTTTTATGTGTCTCTTGAAGACTAGATTTTTAATTTTGATATGTCCAGTTAATTAATTGTTTCTTTCATGGTTTGTGCTTTTTTGCATTCTATCTTAAGAAATATTTGCCTAGGGGACTTCCCTGGTGATCCAGTGGTTAAGACTCTGTACTTCCAATGCAGGGGGCGCGTGTTCGTTTCCTGGTCAGGAGACTTAAGATCCCACATTCCTCACGGTGTGGCCAAAAAAAAAGAAATATTTGCCTAACCTGATGTCACAAAGATTATCTATTTTGTTTTTCTTCTGGAAGTTGTATTATTTTAGCTTTTACATTTAGGTCTATGATCCATTTTGAGTTAGTTACTTTTTGTATATTGTACAATGTCCAAGTCGAGTTTCTTTTTTTTAAATTTGGATGTCCTGTTGTTCTAGTATACCCGGTTTCTTGTATAAATCTTTCATCAATATTAGGATAAGAATGCAGCCCCATTGGTTTTAAACAAGAGATGTTTGGTGCCTCTTCCACAAAGTACTCTTACATCCTGTTTTAACTCCCCCTCTGCTTGATTTTTAGTTAATATTTTGTCATGTATTTGGTTTAAAATTTAAGGCCTTTTTCTTATTAAGACAGGAGGAATCTAGGTCACTGGAATTTCTTAGGTAGAAATTAAAATGACACCTGGGTCTTTTTTCCCCATCCTCCAATAGTTTACTCTTTAACCTTCACTTTGGCAGGGGTTCTGGTTATTTTTAGAGTACAGGCAGTAGAGCTAATCTAATTAAACTCCCCCAGCTACCTGGGGCAGTGAGCTCATCAGCTCTTACAAGCTCAGATTGGTTTGCTCTGGACTGGATTTTACATGGAAATTGATCAAGGTAAAAACAGTGGATTTGTTGGGAACGGAGTGCATTAAAGAGTGAAGAAGGTAATTTAAGTTTGGGTCAGATATGGTCCCTACCTCAGATTTATAAGGTTGTATTCTTTGGTGATGGAAGAAATTCTAGAGTGACTCCTATACTTAAGACCTAGGGCACAGTCATAGCACCTTAGCCTGCTTTAATTTGGGCACTTACTCTAATTTCTACCCCAGAATTGAGATGGTTTTAAGTTTCTTCATTTTGACAGACATTTATATGATAACAACTCATCCCCAAAGTAATTGTATTTTATCAGTGTCATCGAAGTTTCTTGGCTTTTTTAGAGACGTGATCCCCCAAAATGGGGATGTATGTACTCCAAGGGATATGGAAGATGATCCAGTGGTGTATAGGGAGGGCATGTTGAAATTTTAAGTTTTTTCTAGAAAAATCAAGCTTAATATTTAATGTGAATTGATTAAATGTGGGTTCATGCTCAGAGTTTTCACTGATAGAAGTTCATAATCAGTTTTGAGATCACTGCTCTAAGAGTGTCCTTCTGCAGAAGTTTTAACATATAATTTTGTTTAACTGTACCATCTCTGGAATTACTAATACTGTTTTACAAAAGAAGAAAATGAAGCCCAGAGAAGATTAAGCAGCACATCCAAGGTCACATCACAAAGTTTGTTAATAACTTAGCTAGTACTAGAACCCTGGACTTCCAATTTTCAGCCTAGGACTACTTTTACTAAACTCTGTGGCCCCTAAAATGTGACTTTTAGAAGCTCTCTGCCTATCAGCTTGGTGATTAAACAGAGTTGACATAAGCATTCACAGGTTTTGTTCTGTTTCTGAATTTAGGAATAAATTCTGTGAACTTTTTTCCTCAAAGAAAAGATCGCTTCTTGCAAGAACCTTAAACCAGTGTCCCAGAAGATGAGCTTTACAACCTCTGGGTATAGGTTCAACCTCATGGCTCTCCTTTTCTGAGAAGTGGTTCTCAGAGCTAGGTAAGCATTAGGCATTTGGCACCTCCTGCCCAGCAAATGTGTTTTCTAGAGCCACTATGAGTCTAAAGTTCAGGCAGTCTGGGCTTCTGTACAAGTTGATGAGATTCAGTTTTGAGAAAGGGTCTCTGGAGCTGCTCAATACTTCTTCTCTAGGAGTGGATAACAGTGAGATGGGAAGTATGGTGTGGTTGACAGTCTTGATTCTGGAGGTGAGAAGGCATCAGTTCTCTTCTCAGTTGACCATAAGGTATGCCTGTGACCTTAGTTTTAAATCTTAAAGTAGTACAGTTGTTTTCCCTGCTTCATAGAACTTTTGCAATTAATGTAATTAATTTAAGCCCTAGGTGAGGAAGAAGATATTGCTGAGCTACTAAAGAATATAAACAGGGACTACTGAGAGGAAAAAAACAAGTGTTGTGTGAGCAGTGCTGTACAAAAATACATCATTGAAGTAGGAGGAGGAAAACAGCCTGCTCTGCAAACAGCTCTTCACTGTTTTTCTTTATGTGGCTTCACAAATCTGTTTTTTGTTGGCATTGTCTTTCATCATCACCCTTCCAGGTGTCCCTCCCTCAAATTCAGCCTCAGCCCTGCTCTTGCATTATTTCTACTCCCCCGCCCTGGCCTAATGTGAGCAAGCTTTGGGCAGCTGTCTCTTGGCAGAGGACACTTTAAAAAAATTTTTTTTGAAGCAACTTGGATTTTTGTAGAGGAGAGAAGGGGGTAAAGATAAGGATGGGGCTGCTTCTGGGATAATTGTTATGGGAATGAAAGGACTGTTGAAAGATTAGAGGCCAGTGTGCCTGGGTACAAGGACTGGAGTCATAATCATACTTTGTCTTTTCAGTGCCTTTTGTCCAAGGCACTGAAAGGGCTTAACAAAATTCTGGTCTGAATAATATTATTCTTTGCTCTTTGGACTTTGCTTGAGGTGGGAGTGAGGCCCTGAAAAAATAATGACGGTATTATAGTGGTATAAAAGGAATAAAGCTAGGTACCCCAACTCCTAGTTAGGGCTTTGCTAAACGGACAAACCTGGTGAAAGTTGGTGGAACTAGGTGAAATAGTGTTTGCCATTTTATGAAATGGACTGAGATGGTTTTAATGGAAATGTTGCACTTTCTTTTCCAGCTTTGCACTTGGTGACTGACTTACTAGTCATAAAAGGGAAGAAAAAACCTTTTAGGTTCTTTTTTAGGGGTAGGATACTCCTGAGTTCTAATTTGACTCTGCTGCTTATAATCCTTGGTTAATATCTGTGCCTGTATATTTGAAGCTAGGCATCTGAATGACCATAAAGCTCAGGCTGTTATCCCAAGAGCTCAGTTTCTTCTATCTCTGCTGTTCTGTGTGTGAAATGATATTCAGAGTCTGACCTTCCTCTTCATGTTGTGAAGGCAAGTGTTTCATAGAGTTTGTGGATACATACGATGATTATTTACAACAGAAGGTTTTTGCCTTAGAGGGTAGTGCTGAAGCTAGCTTTTTGTATTGAGTTAAGACTCTGCTTGCTTGCAATACGTGTCACTCGATATAGGCCTGCTGTTCCAGGATTTATTTCAGTTCCTTCTTTCCCATCTGAAAAATCACTGCCAATTACTCAGTGAGAAGAAATGGCAGTTAGCCTCCCAAAGATATGTCTCTTTGTGGAATTTAGACATGGGGGGATAATATCTGGCATAATTTTCAGCAGCTGAGAAGCCCTGCTGAGAACACACAAAAACATCAATTTTGTAAAAATGACAAAGGCTGTACATTGTTAAATCTCCTGGTGCCTTTTATCATCTTTCCCAGATTGTTTCCTAATTGTTTCATTTTCTTACTCTTCTCGATCCAGGCTGGCTGCAGTAAACATCATTCAAGATGTCCAGCAAAGGGAGCAGCACAGATGGCAAAACAGACTTAGCTAATGGTAAGGGGCCATAATGAAGGTGAAGCTATTTTTGCTATCGACTGAGGTTCTCCTCCTCCCACAGAGAGGGTGGAGACCTGGATTTTAGCGGAGGGAAGGAAATCTTTCCTAAGAATGAACTCTTGGAGGGAGACACAAGAGGGAAGAGATATGGGAACATACGTATATGTATAACTGATTCACTTTGTTATAAAGCAGAAACTAACATACCATTGTAAAGCAATTATACTCCAATAAAGATGTAAAAAAAAAAAAAAAAGAATGAACTCTTCCTGTGTTGTTTTGAGTGTAGGAAACTACACAGGAAACACCTTGGACTACCTGGTACTTTTGCTCCTTCAGCTTTTATCTGATTGTTTTCCGAAGATCAATAATAGAGTTGTCCCTCTAAGAGGTCAAGTGGTTTGGAATTTTTGTAAGGGTGGACAAAACCTAGGAGATGCTGTTAATAAAGGAGAAAAAGAAGATCCAATTGGTGGTGGAACCAAGGGAGTTGTTGGGAAGGCAAGGCTCCCCAGTTATAAGGAGAGGTCTCTTTTCATGGTAGATCATAGTTCAGTAGAGATAATTAGATAAGAGATGAAGTTATAAATAGCTGCAGTTGGGGCTTTTTTCTTTCTTTTTCTTTTCTTCTCTTTCTTCCTTTTTTTCCTTTCCTTCCTTTCTTTCTTTCTCTCCCTCCCTCCTTCCCTCCCTCCTTCCCTCCCTCCCTCCCTGCTTCCTTTCCTTCCTTCCACCAGTGCTACCAAGTATTAAATTACTGGGTCTACTGCAGATTTGAAGGCAGAATATCATGATTCTGGTAGAGTATAGCTACTACCTGCGTTATTTGACCAGTGCATCCACTCTGAGCCAACTTCCAAACTAGAGAAGGTCCTTCAAATGGATATAGTTGGGCAGTATAGTGTTCAGCATTCCTCAGCACCTTGTAGGTTAAGATTATCGTCTAAATTCTAGTTGACGTGTTTGGTAGAGCAATGAAGTGAGTAAGGGAAAGGGAGATTTTCAGCATGATGTTTTACTGCCCCTTTGTTCTTTTCTTACCACTGGTGTTCATTTATCTTCTGTAAAGGAGAGTGATTCACATTTTTCACTAGGCTTAGTTGAAAGGCACAGGATTCTAGAGGGGTTGGAGGTACACAATTGATTTGGAGTTTGGCCATTAGCTAGATCAGGGATTGGCAAATTATGGCCTGCAGGCTAAATCCACAGGCCTGCGGGCTGCTGTTTTTGTAGTTTACTGGAACTCAGTCATGCTGCTTTTATTTACATAGTATTTATGGTTACTTTTGTGCTACAGCAGTGGAGTTGAGTAGTTGTGCCATACATCCATATGGTCCAAAGTTTAGAAGCCTAAACTTTTTATTATCTGGCCCTTTACAGAAAAAATTTGCCAACCCCTAGCTATTATCTTGGTCATTGACTGTTAGTGTCCTCTTGCTGAGCTTGTGATATGCTCTGGCCCTTATCTTAATGTGGTAAGGCCCCCAAAGTCATCTTAATTTTAACAATAAATGCTAGGAGTTTTGATGTTTCATTTTTTTTTCTTCTTCACAGAAGTGATGGGTGTGATATTTTATCCCTTCTCACCACTCCCAATCTCAAACTCAATTTCATTTCAAAAACCACAATTATTAATCTTTCTCAGCATATACAGCAGCCTCAGCAAATGTAGTTCCTGGGAGCAAATTGCTGCACTTTCCCCCTTTTTCTTCCAGGTCCTAGTTGTTTTCACACTGTGCTCTTAGTTGAGGTGCTATTTGAAAAGAGCTGTTTGTGTGTGTCTCCCAACCTTCTGTCACTACTTGAACCAAAAGTGTGTGTATTGTTTATCTGTTTTCTTTATTGGGCTTTGCCTAAGAGTTCATTGAAAAGAGGTTCCATTGCTTCAAAGATCTTCAGAAATTATTGCTCTAATCCAGATGACTAAGCAAGAAGATATTCCCATTTTGAATCCTTAAACATCAATGTGGTATTGGAGTTGAATAGCTTATACCAGTCACACATAGCTGGTCAGCCTTTCCTACCTAATAGCCTTTACTTCTGGCAAGATAAAATTTATTGTCATCTGAGGAAAGGAGGCCATGAGCGGGTTTAAAATCCTCATTCACCCCCTTCCTTTCTTTACATCTTGACCTTAGTTTGGAAGTTGTGGTCCTTTTGGCCCTAGAAAATTGCCAAAGTGCTCACTAGAATATGATTTGGCTGTTAGATAGGAGAATTCAGTATCTAATTTTGGGGATTATATTGCTCAAAGTGACCCAGTTATTTTATAACTACCAATATGGCAGACCTAGAATATGAACTTTTCTTTTCAGGTCCTGCTGTAGTAGCCCTGCTTTTTATCAATTTTATTTATGCTTCCTGATAAAACTTTGTCTCACTAGAATTCCTATATCTAAAACTAGTATTATGATTATTAAATTAATGGAAGTAAGGCAGAATACATTTATCAGCAAAAAAGAGAGCAAGAAGCCACTCAAATGGTCACAATTTCCACTTGTCCCTTGCACTTCCTTCTGGATTCTTGGTGGATTTTAAAACCTTGGGGGAAGAAACTGTAGGGTTTAAGAGGTGGGAGGTAGTGCTGCTTTCTCGAAGTGGTAAATAGTCCAACTCTTGCTGGGGATGGCTGTTCTTTTTTAATTTATTTATTTTTATTTATGGCTGCGTTGGGTCTTTGTTGCTGCGTGCGGGCTTTTCTCCAGGTGTGGCGAGCGGGGGCTGCTGTTCGTTGCGGCACACGGGCTTCTCATTGGGTGGCTTCTCTTTTTGCAGAGCATGGGCTCTAGGCGCACAGGCTTCAGTAGTTGCGGCGTGCGGGCTTGGTAGTTGTGGCTCGCAGGCTCTGGAGCGCAGGCTCAGTAGTTGCGGCACAAGGGCTTAGTTGCTACGCGGCATGTGGGATCTTCCTGGACCAGGGCTTGAACCCCGTGTCCCCTGCATTGGCAAGCGGATTCTTAACCACTGTGCCACCACGGAAGCCCAGGGATGGCTGTTGTTTTTTCTTATGTTCAGCTTAATTATGTGCTATAACTAATGGATGCCCATCTAGCAAAATAGAGCCTAAGGTAGTTGTATCAGGCATACTTTTATAAAATCTGCCAGTGCTTTGCTTCTTGAGAATTTATTATAATCTTTGGTTGTCCTGCAGTTCTTTATTTGTGTGTGACTTTGGTTTTAATCTTTTCAAGATTCCCTCTCAGAAGGTACTGTTTATAAGCATATGTAATGAAAACATTTTGACCAAAGTTGGTTTCTGGGTCTTTTGGTGTGATGATTTTTTAGACTAAGGAGTGGGAATCCTTCTGGTCACTATCTTATTTCCTTATTTTTCCCCCTCACCTACCCATTCCTCACTAACATGCAGGAAGCCTGTCTAGCAGTCCAGAGGAGATGTCTGGTGCTGAGGAGGGGAGGGAGACATCCTCAGGCATTGAAGTGGAGGCCTCAGACCTGAGCTTGAGCTTGACCGGGGATGATGGTGGCCCCAACCGCACCAGCACAGAAAGTCGAGGCACAGATACAGAGAGCTCAGGTGAAGACAAGGACTCTGACAGCATGGAGGACACTGGCCATTACTCCATCAATGATGAAAACCAAGTCCATGACCGCTCAGAGGAAGAAGAGGATGAAGAAGAGGAGGAAGAAGAGCATCCTCGTCGTCGTGTACAGCGCAAGCGGGCAAACCGTGACCAGGACTCATCAGATGATGAGCGGGCCCTGGAGGACTGGGTGTCCTCGGAGACCTCAGTCCTGCCCCGACCTCGCTGGCAAGCCCTTCCTGCCCTTCGGGAGCGGGAGCTGGGTTCAAGTGCCCGCTTTGTGTATGAGGCTTGTGGGGCAAGAGTCTTTGTGCAGCGTTTCCGCCTGCAGCATGGGCTTGAGGGCCATACTGGTTGTGTTAATACCCTGCACTTTAACCAGCGCGGCACCTGGCTGGCCAGTGGCAGCGATGACCTGAAAGTGGTGGTTTGGGACTGGGTACGGCGACAGCCAGTGTTGGACTTTGAGAGCGGCCACAAAAGCAATGTCTTCCAGGTGAGGCGAGGGAGCAGATTGGCAACTGAGAAAATCAGGCACGAGTTAGACAAACCTGAGCTGCTGCCTGGAGTAGGAGTGATAGTGAGTTGTGGTAGGAGTTAGATATCAGGACTCGGTCCTTCCTTGGCTCCCATAATGACTTAGAGCAGTTAAATACACTGAAAGACTCATGGCACCCTTTTGTTTCCTTGAGCACAGAGACTGTTAGAAGCCTCATTATAATAGGAAGGGTGCTTGGAAATCATCAGGAAGGCACTAAGTGCCGTGCTAGGAGGCGTTATAATACAAGAGCAGAGGCTCTTGAACCAGTCTAGTTGAGTTTAAATCTTGGTCCAACCCCTTAACTAGCTATGTGATCTTGGGCAAGTTTATTTAACCTCTGTCTTCAGTTTATTTACCTATAGTATAGGGCTAATAACATACAGGGTTATGAGGATTAAATAACAGTAGAAGCTAAGCAGTTAGAACCGTGCCTGGTACTCAATAAACGTTTGATAAATATTGTTAATATTGTTATTCTCTGGAAGTTTTACTTACCAGCCCCATCCATCATATGGTACTAGCCATTTATCCCTAAGCATGTTCTCTTTCCTTCCCCAATATCCCCTCTAGTTTCCTTTTTCTTTGTAGCAAGTTTATGTTTACTTCCTGAATCAAGGAAGATTTTCTCCTTTTTCCCTTACCTTTCTTTCTTACTGGGTATAGTCCTAGTTCACCTGAGCACTCATACCAGTTCAGCCTTCTAGAAGCAACAGAAATCCTCTCATATCAGAAATTTTTTCTTTTCCTCTCCTTTAACCCTTGGAAGAAATTGGACTTGAGCCAACTGTGTAAGAGCAGGAGGTCTAAGTTTCCAGCTGTTGTGTAGCAAAAGTGGATGATTTGGGGTTGTCATCATGTTTTTCCCTCTCAAATTCACCTCTTCAATTTCTCTTGTCCCTTATTTTTATTCTTAACATCCCAGGCCAAGTTCCTTCCTAACAGTGGCGATTCCACCCTGGCCATGTGTGCCCGTGATGGGCAGGTTCGGGTAGCAGAGTTGTCTGCTACACAGTGCTGCAAGAATACAAAGCGTGTGGCCCAGCACAAGGGAGCATCCCACAAGGTAAGCAAGCCCTTGCCCCAAAGGTTGTGCAGTTCAGCTCCTCTGTGGATCTCAGCCAAAGCCCTCCAGTATCTCTGTCCATTGTGTCCCCTTTGTTGTGGTCACCTCCATCGCTTCTTTCAGTCCTAGGATTTGTAGGTAAGATGGGAGAAAAAGCAGCCACACTAAACTTCTCAGAAGGCAAGTATTTGAGAGATCTCTAGATCTTGCACATGCAACATTCACCTGATAATACTTAACTACTAAGCTGAGCCATGGTTGGTTTGGAGATCCTTGAGGTCTCCTGTGCCTTCCAAACCTTTAAAATTTACTCCTATTGTATTTAGAACATTTTAACAGCTCTAAGGTGCTAGCTGTTGGCTTCTCATATGTGAGAGCTCCAGCTTTTCTGCTCACAACTCTCAGTGCATAAACAGTACTATTTCTGGAAGCCCTATTTAGAGCTGGGAATATAGGCCAAATAATCATGATGGCAGCCAGTGAGGAGCCAAGAACTGCCTAGTCTCAGAGTAGGCACTGTTTTCTTCCATGCCGTGGAAGGAGGGTGCCTCTTTTTTTTTTTTTTTTTTTTTTTTTTTTTACAAACCCTAAGCAAATATGTAGGTGGACCTGGAGTATGCTTTCCTCCCCCATGGCTCAAGAAATATGAAAATTACCTATTTCTTTGATTCTTAAGACTACCCCCAACCCACTAGATAACTAACTTTTAGAACTAAGCTGTAGGGAATGAAACTTGGGTGCCATTTCTCTCCCCACCTGAGAGTGTGGAATTGATTTTGAGGATGAGCCCTAATGGCGGTGTTTTCCTTTGGTATCACTGTTCAGATCCCTTGGAGACTTAATTAAAATAGCAAATCACCTGTCCTTTTGACTTTATAGAATAAACAAGCTGTGAATAATTCACACAGCAAGAGAGAATGGGCTTATTAAATTATCTTCTTTCCTGGGATTTTACAACAAAAAAAGGCAGATGTTTCTCTTGCTGAGACATTTTAAATGCAGCCCTTTGTAAAGATAAAGGAATGAGTTAGACAACCTCTAATTTTAATCTTTAGAAACCTCATGCTTTCCCTTTTTTCTCCTTCAGTTGGCCCTGGAACCAGACTCTCCCTGTACGTTCCTATCTGCAGGTGAAGATGCAGTTGTCTTCACCATTGACCTCAGACAAGACCGGCCAGCTTCGTAAGTATAGCAATAGTATTTTTACAGAACTGGATTTCTTGGCTTTGAAAATACTGCATGTGTCCTAGGTAATGCTCAACTCTCTGGTCCATCAGAATGGTTCCTTTGTATTTATGATAAGAAACAGATGAGTTTAGGGGAATTCCTTATTTCTTTGTTGTTGTCTCTTTCTCAGCAGTAAAATACTATTCGCCTGTCTTCATTTCTAAAGCAGGGTTCAGTTATCTTATTATATGTGGGCTTTAATAACTGGATGATCTTCCACTCTCCATTCACTTGGGTGCCACTCAGCTTCCCCACAAGAAGCATGTTCCTAGCAACTTAGAGATATGCTCCTATGTAGTTTTCACTTCAATTTTGTGGAGAAATGTAAAAATTAAATGATAATTCTTGAACAAAAATATTGGTAGTTGTAGTAGAACTCTATCATATCACAGCTCATTTTTACTTGAATCAGAGATTCATAGGTAAATTATATCCCCTTTTAGCTATGTGATATCATAGAAAGAGCATAGCATCTTATTTGGATCCAGGCAGACCTAGATCAGATCTCAACTTGGGCACTACTAGTAATGACCTATATAACCTTTCTGAACTTCAGTTTCTTCAGCCTCACTATGGGTATAATCAGTCAGTCTTATTCTCTCTTTTTCTCGTTTCTGTGAGGATTATTGATAAATGTGTTTGATACCTCAGCATAGTGTCTGGCACCATGGTTGGAACTTATTGAATTGTAGCTACTAATTATTTCAGTTTCCTTTTTTCATTTTTATTGCTCTTACAATAAATATATCTTGTTTTAATAACTCAAATAATGAAGTATATGGACAAAATGTAAATGCTCCCTCATGTATACCTCTCCTGCCCACCACTTTTCTAGCTATTAATAACCATTGTTAAAAATTTTGAATACCTTTTCAATCCTTTTTGTATACATTTATGTATCTTACTATATACATGTACACTCTTCCCTCCGACATGGGATAATTGTACGTGTATATAAACTTACATATACGTATGTTCCTGCAATTTACTTTTTTCACATTATGATGTATTTTGGAGAGCTTTCTACGTCAGACCAAAAAGGCCTACCTAATTTTTTCTTTGTAAACATTTTATTTATTTTTATGTGGACCATTTTTAAATTCTTTATTGAATGTGGTTAGTCTTAAAAACTATCTTTTTTTTTTTTTTTTTTAATATGCCATTCTGGAAGTTTATTCTAGGATCACAAAGTGAGGAAGAACTCAAGATTTCAACTTTTCAGAACTCTCCCCCCTTAAAAATTATCTTAAATCTTACATGTCAATACCAATATTGAGTAAGGGGTGTCCCTAATTTCCATAGCATACAAGTAAAATATAAGTTAACATAGGGAATATAATCTTAAGGCTGATTATTATTAGACTTTTATTTTTAGAGAGATAAGTATACAAAAAGTTGCCTAGAAAGTGAAGAATTTAAAATAGTGGTTAAAGGATGGAAATGTTTTTGGCTTGTGGAAAGGATATACTGGTTATTTATATAAAACTTAAGAGGATGAAGATTGAGAGATAATGAATGGATTTCTCCTGGAAAGCGAACAGGCCTGGGTGACAAGGGATCTGCCTTCTAGTACTAGCCTGCAGTTATATAGCTTTGAGAAAATCATTTAATCTCTTAAACTGAATGATGTTTGTTATTTTCAGTTCTCAAGTTCCATGATTCTGTGATGATAATGGAACATCAGCAAGTTTTCCAGAGGGGAGTGGAAGGGCAAAGATGGAAAAAATGATATGAGTTTGTTTGGTCTGCTCTGGTACATTGTTGTGAAGCTGAATGAGATCCTTTGGATCAGGTTCAGAGGAAAACTACTGTTAGGCCACAAGAAATTGGGAATCTGGTTCAAGTAATGGGCAGAGTACATGACTGGCAGATTATTGAATGTGTAATGAAAAGGTGTAAGGAGAAAATCTGGCTGAGAGTTGATCAGTGGATCTAGGTGTAAGCAGTAATAGGTGGGATAGAAACTAAAAGGGGGAACATAGGAGAAACTTAGAGTGGGAGGAGGTCCAGATTCTGGCCTTAAGAAAGTTTTTGCTTTAGGGGTTGAATTAGTGGAAGGCTAGAATAAGGACTGAATGTGAAGGTCATGGCTAGAATGTGTATCCGTATGTGTTAAGCTGGTGCCTGAACATCTGCTTATATCAGAGACACTTTTTTGTGTGAAGTTGGCATAGGGAAATTTTTCTTTTGTATGTACATAATAGCTGAGATTCTGGAATCTGGTGATATTGGCTAACATCATAGGAGGAGTTGGATTTGGAGCTGTGGGTGGGATATTCATTTAGCCAGCGGAAGCCAGTTTGAGATATTCTTCAGAGGAATCCGTTGGTTTGATCTGTAATTGTTTTTCCCTTTTCCCTGGAACATACCAGCCCGCTAAAGACTGCAAATTTTAAGGCAGAATTTGGTAAATTTGTTTCATATGGCTTTGTGTGCTGCCTTACTCTGGTGTCAAAACTTTTTTTTCCTGCTGCCATTATAGCATTTTATAGCACCTCTGCATTTTCCCCACAGGGCTCAAGGTGCTCTGTGCATTTATGCATTAGGAGAGAGAATTGTTTGTTTTAGGTGAATAAATGGAGGCCTAGAAAATTGAGTTCTTTGTCAGGATTAGATGACAGTGGAGCCAGTACTTCATAATCTATCCCCTCACTTTCTTCATTTTGCTTCTGCATGGTAACTGTTATGTTTGTCTGACCCTCTCCTAAAAATCCAAATTGCTGAGGAAATGAGATGTTTCTCTGAAAAAGAGCAGCAGCTGCTCCTATTCCTCTTCTATATCTAAAGCCCAAATTAGAGCTGCCTCTTCTCCATTGCTAGTTTTGTTCCTGAAACTTTTTTTTTGACTTGTTTTCTGCCTTGTGTTTTGGGTATGTGTGTATTTGTGTTTTCCCTAATGACATTTATTTTTAATGACCTTTGTACACTATTCTTTTAATGGAAGGCTGCAGAGATTTTAAAATTAAATTTCTCCTTTGCCTAGAGCAGTCTAGGATGGAGTGACTTTGACCATTCAGAGAGGATGCTAACATCACTTACAAAGAAACTTATTGTCATAGTTATAGTTCTTTTCATTTTCTGTAAGCACCAGAAATGAGCAAAAGCTTAGAATTAAAAATGAAAGCTGTTATTCATAATCGCCAAAACTTGGAAGCAACCAAGATGTACTTCGGTAGGTGAATGGATATACTGTGGTATATCCAGATAATGGAATATTATTCAGCAGTAAAAAAAAAAAAAAAAGCAAGCAAGCTAAAGCCCAGTCCCTTCCTTTCCTGTCTTCCTTTCTATAAATTTACTAATCTTTATGATGTCATATTTGACAGGTTGAACGCTTCAATCTGGGAGGAGTATTAATAGGGCCACCCTTAAGGTGGGACAAAATTATGGCTCTTTGGCCCAAATCTTCTGGCTAAAACTCTGAAATTTTAAAGGTTTCCTCGGGGTCCCATGCCCTCCTAAGAATCACCCTTTTTTGTGGTACAGCCAGAAGAATAATTTAGAAATAATTTTTCAGCATTAAAAACAGCTGTCTTGACAAGAACATCTGCTCCTAATATGCTTCAAATAAGGGAAGACTAATATTGTTTTCCTTTGTATTAACCGTTGCTTGTTGTTTTTCATCGTGCGCTTTTAAAGCTGCGTTTTAAATGACACTTCTCTGGAATCTGGGAGATAGATTCTGACTTTAAGGTCTTTTCCTTTTTTTTTTTTTAATGTTTAATTTTTATTTATTTTGGCTGCACGGGGTCTTAGTTGCGGCACGTGGGATCTTTGTTGCAGCGTTTGGACTTTTTAGTTGTGGCATGCTGGCTCCTTAGTTGTGGCATGCTGACTCCTTAGTTGTGGCATGCCTGTGGGATCTAGTTCCCTGACCAGGGATCGAACCCAGGTCCCCTGCATTGGGAGCACAGTCTTACCCACTGGACTACCAGGGAAGTCCCCCTTAAGGTCTTTTCTATCCACTGTTTCTGTGATTCATCCTTCCCTCACTCCCTGCTCCCAGATGATTGGGAAGATGTACTTACAAGTAAAGGATAGGAAGATGTGAGTAGTATTGTCTCTTTAATGATTGGTTGTCATCATGTTAGACTCAAGCTAAGGCTAATGAGGAACAATACTTACATACACCTTTAATTTATACTTCTTGAGGACCAGAAAATTACTACATGTTTTTTCCATCTCCAAAGTAGCATTTAGTAAATATATATGGTGGTGGGTTTTGTTTTTTTTTCTTGTTCCAATGTACGAACAAACAAAACCACTTCTTTCTTTCCAAGTGAGAATCTGTTTGGTTTCTTATTAGCTGTGTGTGCGTTACTGTCTTTATTCTCACTTGCCATGACTATCTGGATCTTTTGGAGAATATAACTTTTATACTTTTCTACTCTTGAAGGAAACTGGTGGTGACAAAAGAAAAGGAGAAGAAGGTGGGGCTGTATACAATCTATGTGAATCCTGCCAATACCCACCAGTTTGCAGTGGGTGGACGAGATCAGTTTGTAAGGTGAGTCTGTGGCTCTTTTGTATCTTTGAGAGTTTGAGACTGTGATGTATTGTGTACTACCAGCTTGGGTACTACTACCTTATGGAAAGCTATGAATTGCCTAGGAGTTCATTAACCACCATCTTTAATTTTTTGCCATCTTCCAAAGAGTTTAAACTTCCTCTGACATATTCTGTTCCCTAATGTAGCAGTCTCTGAGGGATGGCTTAACATGTTATAGATATTATCAAGTTCTAAAGAAGTTTGATGAATTGACCAAGTTCTCCACATAGCAGCTAGGCATAAACCCAGGTTTACTAGCAAGTGCTCTCTTAGTAAATATTTTCCACCATTTTTCATATGTAAATTAACACGTACTAGAAATTTTGAATGCTGGTTTCAGATACAGAAATAATTTGACTTGGGAGTACTCACTGTGAACTTCAGGTTTTTGGCTCCCAGTATCCTGAACCACTCTTCTTTATCTTTAGTGATATCTTTGTTACTATGAACATTTCTTGTAACACTGTCTATTGAGATATATCCTGAGGAAAATAGAGTTCATGGATTCAGTCGCCATGTGTAGCAGTTAGTTTCCTTCTGGCCCTTTGTCACAATTATATCCCATCCCTATCCAATTGGGCTGTTTTTTTTTTAACATCTTTATTGGAGTATAATTGCTTTACAGTGTTGTGTTAGTTTCTGCTGTATAACAAAGTGAATCAGCTATATGCATACTTATATCCCCATATCCCCTCCCTCTTGCATCTCCCTCCCCTGCCCCATCCCACCCCTCTAGGTGGTTACAAAGCACCGAGCTGATCTCCCTGTGCTATGTGGCTGCTTCCCACTAGCTATCTATTTTACATTTGGTAGTGTGTATATGTCAGTGCCACTCTCTCACTTTGTCCCAGCTTACCCTTCCCCCTCCTCCCGGTGTCCTCAAGTCCATTCTCTACGTCTACATCTTTATTCCCATCCTGCCCCTAGGTTCATCAGAACCACTTTTTTTTTTTTTTTTAGATTCCATATGTATGTGTAAGCATACGGTATTTGTTTTTCTCTTCCTGACTTACTTCACTCTGTATGACAGACTCTAGGTCCATCCACCTCACTACAAATAACTCAATTTCGTTTCTTTTTATGGCTGAGTAATATTCCATTGTATATATGTGCCACATCTTCTTTATCCATTAATCTGTTGATGGACACAGGTTGCTTCCATGTCCTGGTTATTGTAAATAGTGCTGCAGTGAACACTGTGGTACATGACTTTGAATTATGGTTTTCTCAGGGTATATGCCCAGTAGTGGGATTGCTGGGTCATATGGTAATTCTATTTGTAGTTTTTTAAGGAACCTCCATACTCTTCTCCATAGTGGCTGTATCAATTTACATTCCCACCAACAGTGCAAGAGGGTTCCCTTTTCTCCATGCCCTCTCCAGCATTTATTGTTTGTAGATTTTTTGATGGTGCAATTGGCCTATTTTTAAGTATATTTCTTTGGTTGCCAACAGATCATCAGTTTGAAAGGGAGGAAGGAAAGCATCACTAGAAGAATGAATGACTTTATGCTTTCCTGGTGGTGGATGAAAAGCATTATCTTCCTTTTTATTTATTTATTTATAAATTTATTTATTTTATTTATTTATTTCTGGCTGTGTTGGGTCTTTGTTGCTGCACGCAGGCTTTCTCTAGTTGCAGAGAGCAGGGGCTACTCTTTGTTTTGGTGCGTGTGCTTCTCATTGCAGTGGCTTCTCTTGGGGAGGACAGGCTCTAGGCATGCGGGCTTCAGTAGTTGTGGCTTGCGGGCTCTAGAGCGCAGGTTCAGTAGTCGTGGCGCACGGGCTTAGTTGCTCTGCAGCATGTGGGATCTTCCCAGACCAGGGCTTGAACCCGTGTCCCCTGCATTGGCAGGCGGATTCTTAACCACTGTGCCACCAGGGAAGTCCCATCTTCCTTTTTAAATAAGAGGATATTTTTATAACTGTATTCTGTAATTAATTTTATTAATAATCACAGGGATGGGACTAAATTTTTAGAAATACCTGAGAGATGATCTTAACTTGTTGAAGAATCCTGCCACAAGAGAACTGGGCAACTTTGTTGCTCTCTTCTTCTTCCCCTGTTTCCCTTGCCTTCTAAATTCCTTTCCTCTATTGGTCAATAGCAAATGTTTAGCAGTAGTTTTTTTTTTTTAAGATAAGCTGTTGATCTAAAAAGGGGTAGTAGTTGTCAGAACTTTCAGGTGCTGCCTCCTCCAAATCAAGCATTTACTGAATTTTTAAATTTGCATTTCCTGCTTAGAGCTCTGGATTCATGGAAAAGTCTGTGTCTCTAGATAATTCAACCACTAGGACCTTGATGTTTGGAGGAGAGTGGAGGCATTGGCTGTATTGAGAACTGCAATTGATAACGCTTTTATCCAGAGCTAATACTTTCTCAGGGTGAGAGTGGGGCTGGAAATTAGTTTTAGCATTTCATCACAAGGAGAAATACTCAGATCTTCTATTTATTATCAGCCTCAATATCCTTTATCCCTTTGTACATGCCAAATTCTCAGCACGTAATAGGCTGTTTACACGACAAAAGCATGTGTATATTTTGAGGCACACTGATCGCCTATGAGCAGATGGCCCTTCCACACCCTAGCTCTTCTCTGATCATCCTCAATTTCTCTGGCACCTCTTCAGTTCAGCCAGTTGAATGTTTTGGAATTCCTCTTTTCTGTTTCTTTCTTTGAAAGAACTTTAGGCTCACCTGCCAGTACAAATTTGAAAATACTTTTGCTGAATATTTTATATCATAACACCATTAGCTTTCACTAGCTTGAAGGAATTCCTTTAGGGGAGTACAGAGAAATAGCTTACTCTTCCTCAAGGCTTTCACATCATAAATACTGAATTTTAGTTTAGGATTGTGAAGGAGCATCTAAGAGAGTCATGCTTTTTTGAATATGACCAAAAAGGGGGGATGGGCAGGGAGAAAGAAAAAAGGTAGGCAAATGGAGGGTGGTATAGATTTGAGTTTCTGCCACTAAATCCTTTTTAGGTTAGTTTAAGAATTTACAGGAGTGAAGAAAAGGAGAATGTATCAGGTGAATGAATCCTGTGATAGATTTGGCAGTGTGATTGGTTGACATGTAAATTTATTGCTAAAGGATTTGGTATAGGCCCTGGTTTATAAAACACAGTCAATAAATAGTCACTTTGCTCCCCTATCTTTATCAGCAACATTGAGAGAACACTAGATTAAAGGCAAGTTGGGGGAAGAGGAGGTGAGGAGGGAAGAGAGAGGCTTAAGGTAACAAATTCGTGGGCACCTGGAGGCCTGTGGAGAGGAATGCAGTAAGCGTGTTCAGACAGTGCTGAAACCATTCTTTATTTGATTTAAAATGTCCAGGGTATAGGAAGACTCAATAATGTGGAGATGTCAGTTCTTCCCAACTTGATCTATTGAGTCAGTGCAATCCCAATCAAAATTCCAGCAAGTTATTTTATGGATATCGACAAACTGCTTCTTAAAGTTTGTGTGGGGAGACAGAAGATCCAGGATATCCAACACAGTACTGAGAGAGAAGAACAAAGCTGGAAGCCTGATACTACCCAACTTCAAGACCTATCAATACTCTAAAGCTACAGTAATTCAGACAGCATTGTATTGGTGAAATAGACAAATAGATCAAAAGAACAGAATAGAGAGCCCAGAAATAGACCCCCATAAATACAGTCAAGTTATCTTTGACAAGGAGGCAAAGGCAACAAATGAAGAAAAGATAGTCTCTTCAATATATGGTGCTGAAAGAACTGGACATCCACATGTAAAAACTGAATCTAGACATAGACCTTACACAGTTCACAAAAGTTAACTTAAAATGGATCATAGACCTGAAAGTAAAGCCCAAAACTATAAAACTCCAGAAGATAACATCGGAGAAAACCTAGAAGACCTTGGGTATGGTGATGCCTTTTTATTTTTTTATTATTATTATTTTTAAAGTTTATTTTATTTATTTATTTTTGGCTGTGTTGGGTCTTCGTTGTGGTGCGTGGGCTTCTCATTGCAGTGACTTCTCTTGTTGTGGAGCACAGGCTCTAGGCGTGTGGGCTTCAGTAGTCGTGGCATGCAGGCTCAGTAGTTGTGGCTCGTGGGCTCTAGAGCACAGGCTCAGTAGTTGGGGCACACGGGCTTAGTTGCTCCATGGCATGTGGGATCTCCCCGGACCAGGGATTGAACCCGTGTCCCCTGCATTGGCAGGCGGATTCTTAACCCCTGGGCCACCAGGAAAGTCCCTTGGTGATGCCTTTTTAGATACAACATCAAAGACATCCATGAAAGAAGTAATTGATAGGTTAGACTTCATTAAAATTAAAAACTTCTGCTCTGTGAAAGACACTGTCTTTCAAGAGAATTAGAAGATAAGCCACAGACTGGGAGAAAATGCTTGCAAAAGGCACATCTGATGAGGGACTGTTATGCAAAATATACAAAGAACTCTTAAAACTCAACAACAAGAAAACAACCCAATTAAAAAGTGAGCCAAAGACCTTAACAGACACCTCACTGAAGAAGATACAGATGACAAGTGTATGAAAAGATGATCCACATTATATGTCATCAGGAAAATGCATATTAAAACAACAGTGAGATACCACTACACATCTATTAGAGTGGCTAAAATCCAGGACACTGACAGCACGAATTGCTGGTGAGTACTGTGGAGCAACAGGAACTCTTACACATTGCTAGTGGGAGTGCAAAGTGATACAGCCGCTTTAGAAGACAGTTTGACGGTTTCTCCAAAACTAGACACACTGGTACCATACAATCCAGCAGTCAGGCTCCTTGGTATTTACCCGAAGGAGTTGAAAAGTTATGTCCACACAGAAACCTGTACGTGGATGTTTATAGCAGCTTTATTCATAACTGCCAAAACTCGGAAGCAACCAAGGTGTTCTTCAGTATGTGAATGGATAAATAAATGGTGGTATATCCAGACAATGGAATATTATTCAGCACTAAAAAGAAAAGAGCTATCAAGTCATGAATAGACATGGAGGAACCTTAAATGCATATTACTAAGCGAAAAAAAAGGCCAATCTGAAAAGACTACATACTGTATGATTCCAACAGTATGACATTCTGGAAAAGGCAAAACTGTGGAAATAAGAAAACGGTCAGTGGTAGCCAGGGGTGGGGTGGGGCAAGAGAGATGAATAGGCAGAGGACAGAGGATTTTTAGGGCAGTGAAAGTACTCTATGATATTATAATGATGGATATACGTCATTATACATTTGTCCAAACCTGTAGAATGTACAAGAGTGAACCCTCAGGTGAACTATAGACTTTGAGTGATTATCATATGTCAGTGTAGGTTCATCCTTGGTTTAAAAAAAAAAAACTACCGTTTTGATGAGTGATTTTGATAATGGGAGGGGCTATACATGTGTGGGGGTAGGGAGTGTATGAAAAACCTCTATACTGCCCTCTCAGTTTTGTTGTAAACCTAAAACTGCTTTAAGAAAATAGCCTTAAAAATTAAAAAAAAATTTTTTTTTAATGTCAAGGTCCTGTCCTATGAGCAGATAATAGGGGAATTGTTTTTGTATTTGTATCACCACTGTCTAGCACAGGGCCTGGCAGTCTACACTGTGTTTGTAAATAAAGTTTTATTAGAACACAGCCATAGCCATTTGTTCACATATATCCATGACATGCTACAGTGGCAGAGTTTGGAAACTGTGACAGAGACTGGATGGCCTGCCAGCTTAAAATATTTACTGCCTTGCCATTTAAGAAAAAGTTTGGGGCTTCCCTGGTGGCACAGTGGTTAAGAATCCACCTGCCATTGCAGGGGACACGGGTTCGAGCCCTAGTCCAGGAAGATCCCACATGCCACAGAGCAGCTAAGCCTGTGCACCACAACTACTGAAGCCTGTGTGCCTAGAGCCCATGCTCCCCAACAAGAGAGGCCACCACAATGAGAAGCCCATGCACCGCAACGAAGAGTAGCCCCCACTCGCCGCAACTGGAGAAAGCCCACGCGCAGCAGCGAAGACCCAACGCAGCCAAAAATTAAATAAAATAAATAAATTTTTAAAAAAAGTTTGCCAATCCCTAGTCTCAAGCATCATATCTAGAATATAGTAGGTTCTTAATACATACTTATGGAAGAAAGGGGAGGAGGGTAGGTAAAGATTTCCCCATAAAGAAGAGCGTTGGATACAGAGGAACACGGAATGGTCCATACAACAAGATACTGAATATTTAAAATTTTTTACTAATTTGATGACTTGGGAAGATAATGATGTCTTAGTGACATTTGAGAGCTGTTGATTTAGACTTAGTTTAGAGGGAAAATAATCTGATTATCAGCTGCTATATTTGCTGAAGAGTAGTAATTGGTAGTACAGCAGTCTCCTGTTTGTCTTATTTTTTTATTGGTTCATTTAAAAAACATTTCCTGGATAGTCTATTTATGCAAGATATTAATGGATTATGGAGAATACTTAATTCGTTCGTTTATTCATCCAGCATTTACTGAGCATTTGTTGTGTGCTAGGTACACACTTGACTAGACATAGTTTCTGCCTTCAAGGAGGATTCGGGAGAAGCAGATATATATAGGGATTAAGAATATTAAGTAACTTACCCAGTATTGCTCATCTAGTAAGTAGCATAGTATCTGAACTCAGTTCAGATGCCTTAAATATGGTGGAAACCATTTCACTATGCTGTTCTTTCTCACAGAGGAAATATTAAAGACAAATGGGAAGTATTTCAGGTAGAGGGAACAATATGTGTAGAATTAGGATAACAAGATGTGACATGGTATGTTCAAGGAAGCATAGTTTTTTTGTTTTCTGTATAATGCATAGGATCTTTGAGAAGTGATAGGCAGCCATACTAAGTAGTCTGGACTTTATTTAGTAGAAAGTACAAAATCACTGAAGAGATTTAAGCAGGGAATTTACATTAAATTTTTCATTTTCGACATAATTCTGGTGACAGTATGAGCAAAGAAATCAGAAGGTTACTATAAATAATGTAGGCAAAAAATGCCTAAGGGTGGAGAAAGCAGATATAGTCAAGAAATATACCAAGGAAGTCAAATCGACAGAAAAGAAACTAGATACATCGAGAAAGGACCTGATTTCTGGTTTGGCCACCTGAATTTAGGATGGTGCCATTAACAAAGATTTGGGGGAAAGGGTAGGTCTAGAATGATCTTAGCTTAAAAAGGAGAATGATTTTACTTTTGGGCATTCCATTACAACATCCATTTGGCGTGTGGATATAAATCTAGAGCTCACTCAGAACAAGTGTGGGCTGGAGACACAGATTTAAGAGACATATCCACATATAGGGGTAAAGTGTTAATGGAATTTGATTACCAAAAGAAAGCATAGAGCAGAATTCTTCCTCCCTTTTGAGTCTCTGGCCTCTTTGAGAATATAAGGAGAACCATGATCCCTTCTCCCAGGAAAAATACACATAAGCACAGTTTCTGGACATTCACATATACTTGAACTCTAGGTTTTAAAATTTCCTTATGTAGAATCAGAGGAGAACTTAAGACCAGACCTTTGAGGAACATCAGCATTTAAGGGGTAGACAAAAGACAAGCCCATGGACAACATTAAAGGGTGGTTGGAAATCAAGGGAAAAAAGTGTTTCAGGGAAGGAGTAATGAACAATGTCAAGACGAGAGAGAAAGACCTAAAAAAGTATCTTATTGGTATTGGCAGTTAGGTTACTGATGACTTTAGCCAGAGAAGCTTCAGTAGTGAGTTGAAGGCCAAAGCTACATTAGAATGGAATGAGAAATGAATAGGAGGTGAGGGAGTGAAAATGTTGAATGCAGATTGCTCTTTTCAGTAATTCTACTACAGAGGGGAAGGACAGGAAAAGCCAGAGTAGGAAAGGTCAGTGGAAGGATTTTTAGAAACGGGCAGACAATGGTGAGGAAGAGGACTAATCAGTGAGAAATGGACTAACCAACCAAACAAGGTCCTTGGAGGGATGAGCGTAAGAGCAGCTGTGGAGGGATGAGACTCTGAGATAGGAGGAGACTGATGGGTGAAGGCAGAGACTAGATCTGTCTGTTCCTCACTATATTTCTAGCACCTGCCGTAATACTTGGCACCTAATCCATGTGTCATAAATAGTTGCACAAATGATTAAAGTTTGGATTGGAAAGATGAGGAAGGTGAAGGTAGTTTGATGCTTGATGAGAATGAAGGAAGGAGAGAGTGAGTCTTGAGATATAGGTGTTGGCTTGTAATAGTTTTGGGAAGAACTAGCCAAATAAAATTTCAAAAAGAGATTCAAGACCCACTGACTTACATAAAACATGGTCTCTGCCCATGAGTAATAAACCGTATTGGGGAGGCAACATGCATGCAAAAGGCTCTATAATAATGTTATTTCAGTGCAGATAAACAGTAAATGATATAAAAGCTGAGAGAAGAGATAAGCCACTTCAAAATAATATAATTTAGAATTACTACTTGAAATGAGAAGTACCTGGATAAGAGTTTTGGTTTGGAAGAGGGGCGGGAGAAGATTTTTGAGGAAGAACCTGAGCCAGAAGCCTAATTGGGGAATGTCCTTTATCTGTCCTGACATCCAGCTGACTGGTGTTCCTGCCACTACATCGAATTGCAACTCTTCAAGGGATGTTTGTAAATTTTGACATTTTCATTGCTTCTTCCACCGTAGGATTTATGACCAGAGGAAAATTGATGAGAATGAAAACAATGGAGTACTCAAGAAATTCTGCCCTCATCACCTGGTAAGATTCATGAAGGGCCGGTGGCTCCAGGCTTCCCTGACTCAACCCCAAGCCTGCCCCCAAACTTGTTGGTATGGTGGGAAGAGCTTGGACTTTGGAGTCAGACACCTGGATTTGAATCCTGGCTCTACCACTTACCAGTTTGGTGATCTTGGGCAGTCACCTTACCTCTGTTAGCCTCAGTTTTCTTATTGATAAAATAGAGATACAGATAACTGCCTTGTACCATGATGGTAAGGCCTAATGAGATAATGTATATATGAAATGGCTAGCACACAGAAGACAACCAGTAGAAAGACCTCTCCCCCCGAGGTGGTCACGTTTCATCAGTTGTACTCCTGTCTCTATCTCTCTGTCTATCTTCCTCTCTCTCCCTCTCTCTCTCTCTGTCTCTATCTCTATCTGTCTGTCTCTGGGAGAGGATATAGGGGAGTTTGAAGGAAAACCTGTTTCCTGAAGGTGGTATAACAAATGGGGGGGTGGGGCATCAGACAGTATCTGCTCCTTATTGCAGGTGAACAGTGAGTCCAAAGCAAACATCACCTGTCTTGTGTACAGCCACGACGGCACAGGTACGTGAGCAGGGCCCAGCTCCTAGGCTGGCATGCCCCCTCTGTCTAGGGAGCTGCTGAGCCAGTGAGGCGTGTGCCCTCCGGTGCTCACCGCTGTGCTCTAGCTCCGAGCGGAGCAGCTGGGGAGTAGTTGCCGATGGCGAGCACACAGCGGGAGGATGCAGCAGATGACCCTTGGAGATGCCAGGCACTTGGCGGAACGCTGCAGATGATACTTGGCAGGGCTTGTCCTAAAGCCCAGGCTGTTTGGTTGAGCAGGTTCTTATGCCTTTGACTCATTCCTGAATTAATGGGTATGATCTTCCTGGGCATTCTGCTACCCCTGGGTTGGCAGCATGTTCCTAGTCTACCCTAGACACCTGAAGTGCCTGCTGTTCCAACTGAGTAAGATGGGTGCTATACCTGGGTATTAGGAGGGGGCACTACTGGCAAGAAGCCCCACCCCAACCCCCAACTCCTGGTCCTAGCTTTTTTCAGCCTTTGCCTTCACTGCTGTGTGCTTGTTCTTGGCAGAGCTCCTGGCCAGTTACAATGATGAAGACATTTACCTCTTCAACTCCTCTCACAGTGATGGGGCCCAGTATATTAAGAGATATAAGGGCCACAGAAATAACGCCACAGGTGAGACTGTCTTTCTAGGTTTCTGTACCCCAAGTCTGTTGGTTTGAAGAACCACAGTATCTCATGCAGGTTGTGCAAATAAGAACTACCTAAAGGAGTAGGCCATCTGTCACCAAGTGACAACAAGCCTAATTGGGCTGGAGTTTTCATAGGCCCTCCTGTGCTAGAGGAGAGAGGGCTCAGGAGCATCTCTCACCACTACAGTGATGTTACTTGGTCTGGGTATAAGGAGACTCGACTGACTATATTTTTCTTATGATTTCAGGTAGCTTCAGGATTAAAAGACGTATTAGGGAGTTTGGGAAAGCCCTCCTTAGTTAGTGGTACTGAATTGCCTAAAATAGGGGGGTGAGCTTGTACTTACAGGGAAGAGGAGGGAATAATTCTTTTGAATGAGGCAGAAGAGGAGAAATGGTGATAGCACCTCACCCAAGTTTGCAGTGACGATTGGCCTTTTTTGTTCTGTCTGTGGTTCCCAAACTTTGCTGTACAATGAAGTCACCTGACAGTCTTTTAAAGATACTGAAGCCTGGCTTCCATACCCATCCATTCTGACTTAATTGGTATGGGGTGCATGTTGATTAGGATTTTTAAAAAGCTCCCTTTGATTCTAATGTACAGAAAAGTTGGAATCACTGCGCTTTGTTGTTATTAGTGCTCCTATCAGATGTCTGTCATAATGTTGACTGGGGAGAGCAGTTAGTTTTCCTTTTTTCTCTTGAGCTGGTGAGAGGAGAGGGAAAAACCTGTACTTGGATCTTAGTCCTTGGGCATACAGAAGGAAGTATTCCAGTCTCATGATTGGTATGGAACTGGATGTAGCAGTTGGGACTCCTGGTTTCTCTTACTAATTTCAGGGGGAACCCTGTTGTTCAGTCTTGGTAACACGCACAGTTCAGGTGCTTCTTATAGGCAATTGTGGCATATACCTTCATCAGTCTTAGGTCACCTAATGACCCAGGAAGCATTGACAAGGTACCAGTGAAGCACACATACCAAGGATAATCCTAGGGCATAGGACAGTGCTGCCTAGGAGTGGGCAGAGCTGGGGCCATTCAGGTTGGGACAGGTGAGGCATTAGTGAGGCCTGTGGTTGCTCCGTAGGGTGCAAACTAATGAGACTGAGGCTGTTGCTAGGGACTGCAAACTCCTCAGCTCTATGGACCTCTTTAGGAGAATATAAATAGTCTCTGGAACTGGTGTGATTCTTATTCTGTCTATTATACATGCATAATCCCTTGATTTGTTTTGTGAAAGTGAAAGAAATTCTTTGGCTCTTAGCTGATTTAGATTTGTGAATAACTAAATTTCCTGTGAGGTAAATATATGTCGGCCTGATGCCAACTCTCATGTGGTTTGTTCCTTCATTTGTCATTTCAGTAAAAGGCGTCAATTTCTATGGCCCCAAGAGTGAGTTTGTGGTGAGCGGTAGTGACTGCGGGCACATCTTCCTCTGGGAGAAATCATCCTGCCAGATCATTCAGTTCATGGAGGGGGACAAGGGAGGCGTGGTGAGTATGGTGTGCTGGGCTGGCTGGCTCTCTACTCTCTCCAGTCATTAAGGTAGGCTTTAGCAGGGCCACTGAATTCTCACTCTGACAATGTAATACCACGTCTTAGAGGTCTAGCCAGCTAAATAAAAAGACAGTATAGTCTGGGGGTGCTGAGGTTTTAATGGAATATTTTCTTCCCTTTCCTGTCTTCTGCCCCTCTACAGCACGGTTTATTAAGAGGAGAAAGGGATTTTAGGGAAGAACCTCTGGCCTGAGTGAGGTATCTTTAGGCATGGACCTTTTCCAAAAGAAAAGCATTAGTGTTCAGGGCACACCATCCTACACACTGTAGTAGGTAGCTAAGTAGTGATCTTGAATAGATCCTGGATTAGCGGATACAAGCTAGAAGGAGCATTTTTTCTGACAGTTGGGAAAATCAGAATATGGTCTATTTATTGATACAAACACACATAATATGTATGCATATATAGGGAGAGAGAAACATGCTCACCCCCGCGACCATTTTTCTTGTTGTTGTTTGACTGCTATACAACCCATGATCATATCATAGTCTGCCTGTCCTTTGAGTTCTGCAGACAGCCTCCATAGAGATAGGGCAAAAAGGAAGCCTGAGGATCGTGAGTTGGGGAGTGAAAGGTGGTCAGCTCTTAGGATGTATCTACCTAACCATAAATTTTTTTGTTTTTTCTTTTTTGAGACCTAGAGTCAAGAAGGATTCAGTAGCTTTCTATTACAAGGTTTTCAGACTACAGAAGATAAGAAAGAGGCAGTTTGGGCAACTGCATTTTACTGACTACCCAAGACAGTCCTGTTAAGAGCTTCTAAGGGATGGCTGAGATGCTTATTCTTTCTTCCTTTTCATTCCTCTTAAGCTGTGGGGAGCTACAAAGAGCCCAGCCATCTCTTGATGAGGTTTATCCAGAGTGGTTTTAGAGTTTAGAATGGTCCATTGCAGTTGGGATCCCATTTCTTCTTGTGTGTCTCTTATCCTGGTGTGAGGCTATTTCAGACTTTCTTCTGGTTTCCTCTAAATTTTGGGGACCTGGGACCAGTATAGCCCCAAAGCTTCTATGGCTTGAATATAAGTGGAGAAGAGTCTAGAACTTGAAGGTGTGTCTCACTGTTGCCTGCTTCATTTCCTACTTTTCCATAGGTCGTCTTCTATCACCTGTAGTGAACAAACCCAAAACACTGGAGTCTTAATGAGAAGTCGGCAGTAGGCATGTAGTCATAAGAAAGTCAAAAGGGGCCAGTGAATCTTTTATTGATCATAAACTATTGTCTTTCATTCCATTCTAGAGAGATGCAGGGCTGAATGCCCTCCCCCAGGCCAGCATTTGTCTGTGGTCCAGAATCACTCTACAGGCCAATCTCCTTTCAGCTTAGCCGGTGTCAGGGTTTGATGATTAATCCAGGTGCTCAGGTTGGGAGGGCGTTTGCATAGGATGGGTGGGCCCCAGGCCTGAGTTTTAGTGGTCCTAAGAGTGAGGTACTAGAACAAGAGGTATAAAGACTGCACCCTGCAGCGAGATTCCTGGCTTGTTCTTGCCTCTGTGTAAGCTGAATGATCTATGTGGTCCTCACTTGGCTCCTTCTGATTTTTTGTGCTAACCTCCCAGCAGTGGGGTCACCAGCGCCAGCCTGAATGCAGACTATATCATTAAGTAAACTATTAGAACCAGAAGGGATCTTTGAAATTCTCATCCACCTTGCCCAGGTATCTCAATTCTGTTTTTGGCTCAAACCCTAGTCCTTCCACGGTTTGCATTCGGGGCAAGGGTGGGGGATGATGTCAAAGGACAATCCTTAGTCTCCCGAAAGCACTTTGCTCCTTTATCCCATCACCTGCATCCCTCAGCCCAGTCATCTAAGGCCAGAGCTCTTTTCTCTGCTCAGGCATTACTGACAGGATAAGTCCTGGCATGCAGACAGGTCGGGTGAAGTGACCAGGTATTCTGGCCCAGAAGCTCTCTGTTGGCTTCCCCTGCAAGCTCCAACTCAGGTACTATATGTAACTTACTCTCTTGCCATTGGCTTTGTCCTTAGTCTTAAGTTCCAAGGAATTTCTCCCCTGTGCCTTTTTATTTTGCTGACTTGTCAAGCACAGCTAGGTCAGAGTTTAGAAGGGTAGCAAGGGCTTATCTGGAGATGAATGAACGAGTTCAAGTTTGTATGTGTTAAGTTGTCACATATCTTTTGATAATATTTTCTGGCAATGGAGTTTTTCTCTTTAGTGCCACCTCTGCTCCAGATGCTGGAACCTCTTCCACACTGCCTAAAAGAGCCCAAATATAAACTTTGTAATGAGCTGATATGTGGAATAAAAGAAGAAAGAAGGGATATGTGGTTTCTGCTTTACTCTTAGACTCAGACTTAGCTTCAGTGTTTTCTGAGAATTTATTTGTAAAATGGAAGACAAAGAAGATTGGAAGTCTGTATGTCAGTTTTATTTTCCATGCTGACCCTGGCTTCCCATCAGCTGCTCTCTGCATGTGCAGGCGAGGCAGGGAAGGTTGGTCCAGAGAGAACTAAGAGGCTGTTTGCCAGGGGTTGTTTCCTTGGACCGTACTGCAGCTGCAAGACGGGGTGGAGTGGGGTGAGGTGAGGAGTGGCTAGGACCACACCTTCTTCCTTCTGGATGCTTTTGCCATCTATTCCTCATCTGACTAAAAGCCCAAAAATGCTTTAGCAGCTAGATCTGGGACCAGCTCTTCCGGTGGGGGTGGTAGCTGCCCTGCTCTGCCAGGAAGGCTGATGTTTCCAAGTCAGACAGCAGGGGGCATGGGTGCCTTTGGAAAGAAGGAGGCTGCCTAAGCCAGAAGGCCTTTGCCTCGGCTGCTGTAGTTCATTCCTCCTGCTCAGTGAATATATCCAGAGGGTGGCTGAGCTTGAGGCTGTGGGTGCCCAAGGAAGCTGCCTCACGGTGCCGTGCTGTCCTATAGCTGAGCCTGTTGTGCTTTCATGGCAGGCAGCAGAATGCTGTCTCCTGGGGTGTGCAGGGTTCTCAAGCAGGTATGTGTCTCCACTACCCTACTGTGTTTCAGGCTCAGCCTCTTCCCAGCCTGCCTTTTTCCGGCTCTTATAAACAGTGGAATGTAACTGTTCTCCGAGTCTTCTCTGGGGGCTCAGCAGCAGCCGCTGCTTTCTCCATTTTTAAAAATGTATTTGCCACTGGGCGAAAGCCACTGAGACGCTTTTTCCAGACTGGGGCAAGTTGGAGCTTTGGAAGCTGGAGAGAATGAGGTCATCTGAACCTCACTGCCTTTTTGTGAAGCCAGCAGTATGCTTGGCCAGTCACCCGCCCACCCCTAGAGCTATATCTCAGGATGAGGCCACCCCTACCTAAACCTAGGAAGTGAGAGATAGGCCTGGTCTTACATCCAGTCTGTGTCCAGTGTTTCTTTCACCCCAAGGGCCCTTTAGCCTAGGCTTATGATGGGTGGGCCTGTCTTCCCAGCAGCTGTCTTAACTTTTATCAGGGACAGTTGTTTGGTTCAAGGTGAGTAGTGGTTTTTAAACCGTATTGCCACATACCCCTGAGCCTGTGTTTTCCTTTACTCCTGACCAGGTAAACTGTCTTGAGCCCCACCCTCACCTGCCTGTGCTGGCAACCAGTGGCCTAGACCATGATGTCAAGATCTGGGCACCCACAGCTGAAACTTCCACTGAACTTACAGGGTTAAAGGATGTAAGTAGCTGACTATAGATTTCTTCTTTCTGCTTATCCACATACTGTTAGGAGTTTTCATTGTCATAGGAAGGAATAACTTGCTGTACAGTTCTTTAAAGGCACTGCTCTAACACCCTCCCCCACATTCCTGTCATTGCCTCTCTAGGAACAGTCCCAGTCCAGGGGTCCAGGGTGCAGCTTTGAAGTGCATCTAGTTCATGGTAGAGGGGACATCTTTAGGAAGAATCATCCCATCTTCTCAGTGGATGAACCTGGGGCATCCTTTCTTAGTCGAATCTAGCTATACTCCAGCTCAGTAGTTTCTAAGGGAAGATTTTACTGGGCTAGAACACCAGCCTTTTCTGATCAGGTCCAGGGTTCCTATTCATTACCCACTTCCCCAACCCTTTTTGGTTCCAGGTGATTAAGAAGAACAAGCGGGAACGGGATGAAGATAGCTTACACCACACCGACCTATTTGATAGCCACATGCTCTGGTTCCTTATGCATCACCTGAGACAAAGACGCCATCACCGGGTAAGCTGGAGTGGGAAGTGAGCTCCCAAGGGCAGTGACCCTCTCAAGAGGGTAAAATGTTCCAGGGCATACTTCTCGCTGCTTTAGGAGGAATCAGGTGGAGTTAGTTGGGTTTCCTATCCATTATTCCCCATCCCCATCAGAGCTTTGATGTAGCCTTGGAAGAGCCACTGGCAGAAATAGGTGGTGTCTGCTTTGTGTCCTCCATCACCACGCATGCACAGGGTTGTCTTCAAAAGGCAAAGGCATGAGGGTGGGGAAGGAGCTGAGAAGAAATGAGTCGTCTTAGGTGTCTTCTGTTTTTTCTCTTGTGACACAAGAGGCCTAGGGCAGGGGTTAGCAAACTGTGGCAGTTTGGGCAAGTGCCTGCTTTTTGTAAATAAAGTTTTATTAGACTACAGCCACACCCATTCATTTATGTGTTGTCTGGCTGCTTTCATGCTACAACAGCAGAGTTGAATAGTTGTGACAGAGATACGGCCCATGAGTCTAAAATATTTACTGTCTGGCCCTTTAAGAAAAATTCTGCCGACCCCTGGCCTAGAGCATGTAAATTATAGCTAAGACCTAACAGGCTTGTCCTTGTTCCAGGGAAATTACTAATAAGCCTTTCCCATCCTACAGCGCTGGCGAGAACCTGGGGTTGGGGCCACAGACGCAGACTCGGATGAGTCTCCCAGCTCCTCAGATACATCGGACGAGGAGGAGGGCCCTGACCGGGTGCAGTGCATGCCATCCTGAGGCCTCGTACCCAGGAGGGGCAGGCTGGGGCTGCCAACCCGATCCTGCCTGGGCAGCCCTTTCCTGTCCCAGGCTCTAACATTCAGCAGAAACGCACTTTGGACTTTTTTGCTTTAGATTTAAAAAAAAAAAAAAAGAAAAGAAAAGAAAAAAAAGAAAAAAAAAAGACATCCCAGGAGGACAAGCCAGAGGGGAGCAAACCTACAGAGCATCTAGAAGTGGGAATTGAGCCCTGGAATGGGGTTCCATGGAGAGGTGCATAGGACTTGGCAGAAATGGCCTCTCCCCAAAGCCTTTTTTTTGGGGGAGGGGGGAGCCTATTTTGTTAAGTGGTTTGGGGTAGGGAATGGGGTTTCCTTTTCTTTGATCTCCCTTGTTTCTTGGGTGGGGGGTGGGGGGATAACTGGCTGTTCAGTACCAAGGGGCCAGACTGGGGGTGGTAGAAATGCCACTCTCTCTTTGGTTTAGGTTTTTGACTTTATTTTCTTTATTTTTTAAAATTCTATGACAGTTGCATTGTTTTTTCTTCCCCCTGAGCAACCAACCCCATCCCAGGATCCTGTTTTTCTGGGGAGTCCTTAGAGCCCCTAACCATCCCACACTCACTTTCTTTTCCACCCCATTCATTCTCTGTACTTATCACAGTGTTTTGCACTTGATTATGTATCCTTCACTCTCTTCTCTTCATCCCATCACCCCCTCAGTAGGTCTGGTGAGGGAGGTTGGGGGGAGGTGGGAGGAGGGACAGAAGTGGAAGAATAGGAAGGTGGTTACCTCTTCTGTTACTTAAAAAAAAAAAAAGTTGTTTGGTGGCAGCAATCTCCCTGTCCCTATCACTGTTAGAGGCCTAATTTTATATCTATAAATATATTAAAAAGCAAGTCAAAATTGGATGTATCATGTTAAAATTATTGTTGAAGTTTAAATACCTATATATTCTCTATGACTGCAATAAAGGGACTTACAGGAGAGAGTGAGTGAGAGTAATGATGTGGAGGTATCACCTGGGGTCAGCCTACCCTCTATGCACGGCTACTGGAGATTAGGGCTTAACCCTTATGTTTTAGGAGGCTCAAGAATGGAAGGATCCTGAATTCTGCCCTTTCCTGCTTTCCTACCATGGTTTCAGGGTTGGGAAGCCCCTTTCATCTCTTTGCTCCAGATATCCTACCTCTGCTTAAGTCTTGTGGGGGTTCCCAGGATGGCTCTGCTAACCAGAGACTGGCTCATCTTCAAAACTTGACTGAACTGTGACTTCAGGAAGGGTTCTGCCACTGCAGACCGTCTCTCCTAATACTGTGTGTGACAGAAGACACACTCATTCTTACCTTTAGCTGCTTGATTCTTTAAACTATCCAACTCCACACCAACTCCCTTCCTAATGGAAGAGTATAGGGAAAGACCTCCTGGGTTTGACTTTATACCTTGTCCACCTTTTCCTGTCTTGGGATTGAAGGACAAGTCATTAATCTAAGGATTGAGTAAGGTGGCTGGGGCTCAGACACCTATTGTATCACTGGTCACTAATTATCAAAGTCCCAGTTGCATTCTTGCCCTTAAATACTTTTGTTGCTATTTCTTTGCCCCCAACCAGGAATTCTGCATCCTGGGACAGTCAGATTCTACTAGAACAGGCCAGGAAGGAAGGGAGGAGTGAAAGGGTAGAATTCCCAGATACTACTTCCTCCTGCCCCTTTTCCTAGCAGCTCTCAGACCAGATGTTAGCTGCTGTACTTCCTCCCTGAGGTAGTGAATGTGTGGTGACTGTGAGTGGTCTGTGTTCTTATCGCTGGTGGGGTGATGGAGTGGGCTGAAACCATGCACTCTGGAATTTGTTGTGTATTTTCTCTCAGTAAAGCTTCCCCCCCGCCCCCCGACTGCTGCTGTGTGTGTGATATGTGAGCCATTCATTCGTGATGGGCTATTTTTGTTCCTTTCAGTATAGGTGCCTGGCCCTGGTCTTATTACAATTTTAGGAAGTCCAGTCTGGGATATCCATGTTTCCAGTGGTTGGGCTCCAGTGGGAGACTGTGGAAGTGGAATAGGCCCCACAGCTCAGTGATACTTAGAAAATGAGAGAGGGCAGAGATCCTACTAGGGGTGTTTTCCTGGTCTCTTCCAGGCTGCAGTTAAGGATTTGGGGGTAAATTTTGCTCTCCCTCCCCAGTCATCCAAAGGTCATTCACACAAATTTAGAATCAGTTAGGTACAGTACAATCAATCACCTTTATTCCAGGGTTAGAACAAGGCCGTGCACACTGCAGACAGAGGAGCACAGGATAGGGGCAATCTCACAGCAGTATAGGGGGCGGGAGGGCAGGTTAGTCGTTTTAGATTATTTTGCCTTACAGAGAAATTGCTAGACTCCGCTGAAAATGACCCTGTCTCCCTTCTCCCATCTCATCCTCTTCTCTCTTCAAAGGAAGGCTCTTTATAATATATTCCCTCCCTCCACCCCCTTTCTCTCTCAGACTTGTTCTCACATAACATATCCTGGCTTGGAAGGATAATTCCTGCTCTTATCCCCCTCCCAATTCTACAAGTATCTCTCTCTCCTTGAGGGAGAAGCCAGACAGGACTGGGGAAACTTGGGAAGGTCCTTTAAGGCAAAACTGTGGAGTACTCGAGGTGTATGTGTTAAGGCAGGTGTCCGCAGCAGTGGCCAGAGGGGACAGGCAGGTTGGGCTGGGCTAGGCTAGGATTAGAGGGTGCTCTCCAACCAGTCTGGCTTCTTCCCTCTTCCAGTAGCCAGCTCTCCCCTCCACTAAAGTTTTGCTCCCACATCCTAGAAGCTCCTAGCTTAAACTTTCTCTAAATAGCCTCTTGAGATTGCATGTGAATTTAAAGTTTAAAAAAGTTTTTTTTGTTTTGACTATGTAGCAATTTGACTCTGCCACTCCCTTCACTGTGGCATTCCCCTTCCACCCCCGTCCTGGCCTAGACAATAAGTTAATGCCAGACACCACAAAAAAGGGCAGACATGGCAGTGCGGGTTTAATATACATATATGTAGAATATATATGTACACACAGTTAGCACGGTCAGGGTGGGGATGGCTATCTTGGGACAGGCAGGAGGCTGGGGTCACTGTACTCTAGTGATTTGGCTAGGAGGGGTTCATAAGCCCAAGGTGCCAGGATATTGAGGGAGAGGGGTTACCGAGTCCCCTCCTGGACTGAATTGGGGATCAGTGCAACGGAAAACACTGTAGTTAGCTTCTTCCCTTCTTTCTGGCTTGGGGGAGAGGGGGTTCTAGATCATGGAGAGAGGGAAGGTTGCCTGCGATAACCACGATGGGACTCTGTAAGTGGGAGCAGGATTGGAGTTAAAACCTAAGGATCTCGATTCCCCAACCTCCCTAGGTTCAGGGGACTCCTGTGCAACAGTCTGAGTAGGAATAAAGGAGTGGAACAGGGAACTCCTCTCTGCCTTCATCCCCACTCAGGCTCAGTGATGGGGTGTGTTCCCAGCACAGTCTCTCCAGAGCAGAGGTGGGTGGGGGGTATCTAATGCTGGGTTCTCCATGGGGTTTGAACTTTGGGGCCAGGGAAGGATCCAGTGATCCTCTCTCTTTAGGTCCCTGGCTCATACCCACCGTAGGCCCATGAGAGGGGAGCAAAAAGGGACCTGCTGGTGCCCAGGCCCTCCAACCTGAGGAACTACTGGAACCTGGACTCCTCAGCCAGTCCAGCTTTGGGGTACAAACACAAACTCTGGCTTTTCTTTGCCCCTTCCAGGTGGGGGTTGGGTAGCCTCTTCATCTTCCCTCTCACTGCTTTTCATTAGATTCACCCACCTCTCCCATGCCTCACTCCTACCTCGCCGCCTCATTGTAGGAAAATACAGGCCCTTTTCTGCTCCCACACTTTAGAGAGGTGGGGGAAGAGTGGAGGAAAGGGAAGTAGGAGGAATGTGCCCATTTCTATTTGCATAGAAATAGCCCCCAACTCCCCCTAGAGTGGGGAAACTGAGCTCCCCCACCCCCAGCCCCTGACCCCCATCCCCTCACAAGGAGGAGGAACTAGATGAGCTAGACATATAGACAGACAGCCAGAGCGTGCGCACACGCACACACACGCGCACAGTAAGGGGGTTAGGACCAGGTTAGTAAGTGGGTAGATGGGGGGGGATGCCCTTGTCCCCTCCCCTGGAGGATGGGGGAAGAGAATGGTCTGATGAAGGTCCGACCTTCCTCCTCTTCCTCCCCCTTGCTCAGGCTTTCTTCGGTGGAGGAGCCAATTTGATGATCTCTTCCTCAGAGGGCTGCCGGATAATGTCTGGGGGCAAAAAAGGATGTGTCCAGGGACAGAAGTCATGGGAGGCAGTAGGCAGGTTAACTGATCATAAGCCTCTGTTCTCCCAGAATTCAAGTATTCCACAGATAATCCATGGGAGGGGCAGAGGTACATATTAAAGGCATGGCCTCTTACCTTTGTACTTCTTGGCACTGGGGATACGGGTTAGCTTGGTGTCCAGCTCATCTTCCTCGGAGATCTTCAGAACACGGGTTCTGTAGTCAACCACCATAGTGAGTAGGTCAGGACGGCGGGAGATCTCAAAGATGTGCTCGATATAAGAGAGGTTGTCTGGAGGAAGGCAGGACACTGAGGATCAGAGCTGCTGTAGAGGTCAGCTTCCCCTACACTGCTGGATTAGGCTTCAGGAACCAAGCCTGAGTTGCTCACACTGGTTACTGGAGGAGGCAACACTGGAAGAAGAGGGGCAGCTAAGCCAGGAAAAGAAATCTAAAGCACCAAAAGACAGTAGAGAACTCTTCTCAGGAAGGGCAGATCATTGATGAGTGAAGTTTCTAGATTACAGATTTAGAATGAGGGATTTAGGTTAAATACCAGGTTCCACACTGAGTGGAGGGGAGAAGAGAAAAATTAACCGGGCTTCCAAATACCCAACATCCACCCTGTCCCTCTTTCACTTTTCCTCCAAGCAAGCATCAGAATTTCCCAGCAGCACATGTAGGACCAGAAGGGTGGGATCTGTAGACAACCCAGGAGAGATTCTGGGCCTAGTGAGAAGGGTAATTCTGAATGAGAAGGCACAGACATGACCAGAGGGATGATGTCCATGGGTTGGCCAGTTCTAGGAGATTGCAGATGCCTTCTTGCCTGGCTCCTCCCCTCTACTGCAGTAGTCCCCTAAGTCAGCGGTCCCCAACCTTTTTAGCACCAGGGACCGGTTCCGTGGAAGACAATTTTTCCATGGACAGGGTGGGCGGGGGTGGGATGGTTCAAGCTGTAATTCGAGCAATGGGGAGCGAGCGGTAGATGAAGCTTCGCTCACTCGCGCCCACTCCTCACCTCTTGCTGTGTGGCCCGGTTCCTAACAGGACCGCTAGGGACCCCTGTCCTAAGTGTAGCATGTCCTCCTTCAGCCTCCCTCCCTTCATTCCATGCTACAGATTAGTATCTCTGAAGCACCCTCAGGTCACTCATCTCACCTATCAAATACCCTGTCACTCAAGGCCCTCCACATCACAGTCTTAACTTACCTTTCCAGCCACTTCTAAACATGCTATGTTCCTCTGCCTAGCATGTCCTCCTTTGGATCCTGCCTTTGAAATCCCACTTGCCCTTCAGGGCCATCTTAAATACCAGTTCCTCCCCAAAGCCCTTTCCAGAGCAATGGTCTCTAAAAGTGAATAAGAAAATGTTAGAACTTGTGGTTTTAAGTTTTATCACCTTTAAGGCCTATTTTAATGTTTTATTATACATATGATAATAGCACAGTAGGATCTGAGTAACATTTTTTGCTGAATAATATTTTTACTGAGAAGGGCACCACGAAGAATGTAAAGACCACTGCCCTAGAGCCCCTCTACTCTCTTAGGGCACCCCTCTTATCCTGCCTTGTCAAAAAGGAGTGCCCTTTGTATAGGAGCTCTGAGCTCATTTCTGTTTGCTGAATGAACTGAGCCTGAACGGCTGATGGTAGGATGCGTGTGTCCCCCCTCCCCCACCTTTGTCCAGCTTGTTGTGGCTCTCCAGGAAGCTAAACCAGGCACTGCCAGTAGTGATCTCCTCGCTCTTCTCACTGGGGATGTCCTCCTTGCAGGCTGACTTGAGCTGTTCCAGATCTTCAAGGGTGATGTTGTTGGTCAGGTCCTGGAGGAGGGTCCCGTACTCGGCCATGACTGGGGTTGGGGGGAACAAAGGGAGAGGAGGCTGAGCTTGAGGTTCACGGTTTGGTTCACTCACTGGCACTACCCACCTCTCCTCTACCCTACCAGGCAAGTGCCTGGAACACAGAGGTTGGGGAGGCTAGGACTGGAGGGAGAAAAGGAAGACCTAAGGGAGGTAGGAGTAGACAGGAAGAAACTGGGAAGCTAGGGGCCAGGCTGGAGTCTAGAGTGAAAAGTCACACCTCCTTCTCCCCACCATCTTTTTTCTTCCTTTTCCCCCCTCTAACAGTAACCCTGGCAACAGCTCCCCGACTGAGGAGGCGGTTACCATAGCAACCTGCTCCCGACTTTCTCACCCGCTGTCTCCAAGTCCCCCCCAGAATCGCCCCACCCACCTGCAACCCCTCCCCCTGTCAAACAAAACAAAACACACCAAAACGACCAGGGAGAGGCTTGCTGTGGCAGTGAGAAGCTACAAAGAAGGGGCTGGGGGAGGTTGATTGGAGCTCATGTTCTAGCTTCCATTCTTTCCCAGAAGCAAAGGGGGTCCCTCACTTCAACTCCCCACCACCCCACTAATGACTCATTTTGGATAGATGCCTAGTTGCCTGGTCAAATGGTCCCCTGGCCCCTCCATGCTCAGCCCTGTATTCAGTCATTAGGTCTCGGGATGGGGGTGGGGAGGGTGAAGCAATGGGCTACCCCCACTTTTGCGGAGCCCATTTTCTCCCTTGATTGCTG